TCCAGCACTTCCCAGGCTCACAGCCACCCCCTCCCAGCTCAGCCCAGTGCTCCCAGCATGGCCCAGCACCCCCCGTCGATTCCAGCACTTCCCAGGCTCACAGCCACCCCCTTCCAGCTCAGCTCAGTGCTCCCAGCATGGCCCAGCACCCCCAGTTGGTTTCAGCGCTTCCCAGGCTCACAGCCACCCCCTCCCAGCTCAGCCCAGTGCTCCTAGCATGGCCCAGCACCCCCAGTTGGTTTCAGCGCTTCCCAGGCTCACAGCCACCCCCTTCCAGCTCAGCCCAGTGCTCCCAGCATGGCCCAGCACCCCAGTTCCTCCCTGCAGCCAGCCAGAGGGCTGCCCATCACCCACCCTTCCCACCGGCCTCTTTGGGCCATTTGTGGCCTTTCAGCCACTTCAGTCACGAGCGACTCCAGGACGGAGCTAAGAGCTGGTGGCACAGGGCAGTGTCCCCAGCCCCAGTGCCCTCCTCGCTGCCCCCGGGCTGGCTGGGCCAGGGTGGGTGCCTGCAGGAGCCTCTGGAAGTCCGACCTCCCGGCTCCACGGGAAGATGCACTTGGTCTTGTTTTTCACATTCGTTGCACAGTCTCAGGGCGTTTACACCACTGATACAACTTGCCTGGAGGTTCCTGTCAGCTCCAGATGAGCACGGGTAGCGTTAGAGCCATGAAGATGCTGAAGGGAGTGGAACATCTCCCTGATGAGGAAAGGCTGAGGGAGCTGGGTCTCTTGAGCTTGGAGAAAAGGAGACTGAGGGGCCACCTCATCCATGGGCACAAATCTGTTCAGGGCAGTGTCAGGAGGGCAGAGCCAGGCTTTGTGCAGTGATGTCCAGTGACAGGACAAACGGCAGTGGGTGCAAACTGGAGCACAGGAGGTTCCATGTGAATATCAGGAAGAACTTCTTTGCTGTGAGAGTGACAGAGCCCTGGGCCAGGCTGCCCAGAGAGGCTGTAGAGTCTCCTTCTCTGGAGACATTCAAACCCCCCTGGCCACGTTCCTGTGTGATGTGCTCTGGGTGCCCCTGCTCTGGCAGGGGGGTTGGACTGGGTGATCTTTCGAGGTCCCTTCCAACCCCTAGGATTCTGTGATTCCCCTGGCAGCTCCATGGGTGCCCTCCTTCAATTTTGTGTTTCTACCCAGATCAGAAATTACCAGCAATTATGTTAGAGGATGTCCTGGGTTCTGCACACAAATTCTTCTGTATTTAATTGCATTATTTACATGTTTAAAAACTGAGATACCCCCACTCTGGGTTTTGCTCTGCAGGCCCCCCTGGGACGTGGGGCAGGGATGGGTGGCTGGAGAGGGAGATGAGCACCCATGTAATCTGAGGGCCCATCCTCAGCAGGGCCAGCGATAACAATTGAAGGGGAGGGGAGAAAGTTGTCTGAGGGTGATTAAAGAGCAGTCCTATTATCACAGCAGAGCATTCCTCCTGCACCAGTGCTGGGCAGCTGTGTTAAAATTTCCCAGTGTATCTGCTTCAAAGTATAATTGTATTTTTAAAAATAATAAAACACAGACATCTTTGTTATTTCCAGCTCTTTGAGGGTGTAGTTTAGTTAAAATGAAGTGTTGCAAGTTCTTCAAGCCCTGGTAGGACTTTAAAGAATAAACCCAGGATTTAGATCCCACTTGTAAGATTTCCAAAACTTAATATGCTCCAAATTTTTCAGAGTTAGAGCAGATGTATGTGCCACCTTATCCATGAGAATTTGCTTTGAAGGACAGGCAGTCCCTGTGGAGAATACACATCCATGAGGAAAGTTCTCCCTGATCCCACAGTGGTGCCATTCAACCAGTAACTGGATTTACAGTTAGGGCTGATGGAAATTATAATCTTGCTTTTATAATGAGCAAACAGGCCTGTTGGTCACTTCTGCCTTTTAAAATTACAAACTCTGGCAACCTGCTTTTGGAATAGGATTAAAAAAAACAAACACAACCTATGTTAATATTAAAAATCACCTTTGGTGACATTTCACAGCTTCTTCACCAAGATTCATCATCTGCCCAAGGCTGGACATTCTGCTGTGGGTCTATGCATCATAATTATGAGAAGCAGCAGCAGAAAGAGAGGAAGGCAGGTCTGATGGGGCTTCCCAGAGGACACAGCATCAGTACAAGTCCTGGGAGAGAGAAATCATGTTGTCCAGCTCCTCGCATTGTTGAGGCCAGGACCTCCATGTCTCACTACCCCATGGGCAGCTGGAGCACTGGGATGAAGGAACATGGGTGAGAGATCCATGCAAGGACCTCCATGTCACGTTGTGAGACGTAGCCAAAGATCATGCTTCTTCCACCAGGCTCGTTCCTGAGGAGTTCCTGCAGCTGTCCCTAGTGCAGCCCTGATCCTGGGTAAGCTTTGAGCTCCTTCCAGCAAACCTCTATCATCTTTTGGCTGCCTTGGTTTTTCCGGTAGTGCAAGAGTAACTGAGAAGCTTGTGGGCATCATTCTGATCCTTACACAGACCTTAAATCCTACAGTCATGGCAGATCAATGCTCAGCTTGAACACTGGGCAGCAAAATAGGAAGGAGTCCTGATGGTCTCTGCCTTATCCCTGGGTATATCTGGGTCACAGTCAATTCCTGCATGTGTTGGTTGAGTGACCTCTCACTGAGGAGAGCTTGGAGCACAGCCATGCAGCGGGAGAGACTGCTCTGCACTGCATCTGTGTAGCCAGACAGATTTAGCTCTGGGTTGTCAGTGAACATGTGTGGCATTCACCAAAGGGAGGACATGCAAAGAGCACTGATAATATTCCTTATTATAAACTATTCAGTCTTTACTGAGTCTCAAGTGAGTCTTCTCTCGTATCCCCTCCTCAGGTGAGGTACTGAGAGGAGTGAGTTCTCCAGCAGGCAGGAGGGTTGAGGAGGGAGCTGTGGCACTGAACACAACCTTGATGAAATCCCAGATAAAGTGTTGGGCTCCACAGAGGGGATGATAATTCAAGATCACTGAATCCAGCCAGGCTTGCAGACCAAGAAGCATCAAGTGCGTTGTGCCTGCCCTTTGGGAAAGACCAAGGTTTTTCCTGCTTTGTGTGACAGGTGATATGCAGAGAGGCTTAAATTTAGAGCCCAATGCACAAAGCACAAAGGGTGGGTCAGGGCCCTTTTTAAGTGCCACTGCAGCCACCAGGACACCGGGGACAGCAGAGGGTAGAGCAGCAGCTGCCTGACCCCATCCCGACTGCTTCTCTAGCACTACCAGTTCATTTCCACCTGCCCCCAGGATGTGGTTGAGGACCCCCAGCTCCAGGAGAGAGGAGTCCAGTTGCAGTGAATTTAACAACTCCTCCAAGCTGCGCAGAGAGCAGAAACCTGTCCCCATGTGAAGGCACAGAAGAAACCCCCACTGCAAACACAGCACACATGGGAGGGCACAGCCACACCGTGGCTCCCAGGAGAGGCTCCAAGTCTGGTGCCCCTGTGTGACACTGTCCCTTGGTACAGATAACCATAGGCTGGACACACTCCAATGCCTGCATGACTCAAGTGTCATTAGATCCCTAGAAAGGCTTTCCTCTTAGCAGGATGGCCATGTCTGAGGAGCACCCTCTGTAGCAGTAGCATTGCTGGGCAACACAGATACATCTCAGTGGGGAATCTGGCTTATGCATATCGACACGGACACAGCACAGCATGCAGGACTATTTGAGCAGAGAGCACTATCTGCCCTCTGACTGTACCAGCCAGCTTCCCATGCATGGCTGCCAGCAACCAGTGGTGATGTGTATGGCTGCTGTAGTTTATCAGGGTGGCAGAGAGATTTACCTCTGCTTCATGTGCTGGCAGGATATTCATTCCCAGAGCTTTGGTGACAACCTTCTCCAGTAGGGTATTTCTTTGACACTTGGGCCCCTTATCCGTAGTCCTATTCCCTTTGCTAGTTTGGTCCTTCACCCACCAAGTGTGTCTGTGCCCTGAAGCTACAAGCCACCTCTGGTGGGACCAGGCTTTTCCATGTGTGTCCACAGCCCACACCAGCACTGGCTGTGGTGGTGATGGATAGTTTACAGTACAAGAGATAGTAAACAGTAAGATCACACAGCTAAAAATGAAAGATGATCAACATGAGGCACTTAGTGATGAAAGAAAAAGTCTGTCTGGGCTTCCTCACATCCACATGATTTTTTCTAGGACCACACGAGTTTCATAAGCTCCCTGTCCCTGTAGCCATTGGAATAATTACAAATGGTGGCATTATAAGCAATGTCAACTGGGTCCCTAATTCTTTTCATGAGGCTGGCAAAGTGAAGTCCTGGCAGTACTGAAGCAAATGGCAAAATCTCCACTGGTTCCCACAAAATTAGGGTTTCGCTCCCCCTCTGAACTATACTGCACATCTCCCAGCCTGTACTGAGGAACCATTTCAGATTAAATATTGTGCCTTGTGGCTGCCACATGTACTGGAGGTGTATGATGTGGCACAGAAAGGCCCACTCATGTTCACAGCTGTGAAGCATGGCAGAAAAGGCAGATTTTCCTCCAAACTTCTTAGTATGCTTGAACTCTATATGCTCCTTAGCTTAAAGATGTGTCCTAATGCTCTGTCACTGGAATTTTCCAGCACTAACTCTCTGCTCACGTATCAATATGTGTCCAGACCATTTCTTTGGGCCACACGACCACCACGTGAAGAAGCAAGAAGCTGATAACAGCAGCAAGGAGGAGGCCAGTGCACTGACCCTTGCTGAAACAGGCATTGTTTCAGGGAGAGATAAGAGTCTCCCACCTCCATGGGTGGGCCTCTGGAGTGACCAATGAGCGTGGTCAGGCACTAAGGTCCACTCTCCCTATCCTCTTTATAACCAGGGCTGCCAGGGTGATGAGTCCAATCCTGCTTGGAGCCTTCCCTGCAAAGAGCCTGAGCCTGCTCCTCCTGCACAATGCTGACTCAAGCTGAGAAGGCCATTGTGGCTGCCATCTGGGCAAAGATGGCTACCCAAATTGATGCCCTTGGGGCGGAATCACTGGAGAGGTAAGTCCCCCAGAACCCCTCCAAAGGGGGTTCCTCCTCTGGCTTTGCTCTTAGGATGCACCTCATGTAAAACTTGTGTGAGTGAGAGCACACTGGGGCTGGTGAGAGCTGATGGCTGACCTCTGTGTTATTTGATATGTGATTTTCTGGCATTGTATCTGTGCCACTAAATGCTAATAGATGGCCTCAAATTCTTACAGCAAAACATAATTTTTCTAAGCAATTCTAATGGTTTCTTTCCCGTTATAACAATTTAGGGAGAATTCCGAGCCAGAAGCCCTGGCAAGGAATTCAAAGTCATTCGTTCTCAGTGTCCTGAAAAGGGCTTATCACTATTAGGAAATGGACTGTACAAGTGATGCAATTTCCCTTGCAGTTTCTAGGCCTTAACAGCTATCCACTAAATTCCCTGGATAGTCATGTTTCATTGTTCCAGTTGGTAATTAACAAATGGTTAGGAAACAAGACGACTGGACCCCCTGCATGTTGTAGAATACAGTAATAAAAAATTCATGCAAATGATAGCCTGGAAATTGCTCAGAAATTATTATATTGTTCAAAGTTATTAAAAGGTTACTTACAGCTCAATATGAAGTATTGTGATACTCCTTCCAGGACTTTGAATACCACTCATGGATACTGGTTTGTTCAGCTCCTGTTAGTTTGAAGATCCTGCAAACTGGCTTATGATATAACATAGGAAATGCAAGGGACAAACTGGGGCTCTTTTTTATTTAATACAAAACAAAAATACATTCAGTTTAAAATTATTTTTGATACTTCATTCTTCTCTAGTATGTACAGATTAGCCCACTGTCTAATTTGCACATACTGCAGGGAGTTTTAAGAGCAGAAAGACCTTCCTGATGCAAGCTTGAAGCTCCCAAAGCTCTGTTGCCACTGCTGAAGGAGTGACTTTCTGTACCTGACAGGCTTACCCTGCACTTGCTCTGAGGTTTTCACCATCTCATGCACACCATTTCCACTGCTGAATCTCATTCACATGTTGTCCTCCAGGCTTTTCTCCAGCTACCCCCAGACGAAAACCTACTTCCCTCACTTTGACCTCAGCCAAGGCTCAGCTCAGCTTCGTGGTCACGGCTCCAAGGTCCTGAGTGCCATTGGGGAAGCTGTGAAGAACATTGATGATATTAGAGGTGCTTTGGCCAAACTCAGTGAGCTGCATGCTTACATCCTCAGGGTGGACCCTGTGAACTTCAAGGTGAGTAAGGAGAGACTTTCAGGGGTGAAAGATGCCATCACAGAATGAAAGACTGCAGATCATTTTGGCTGATGGCAGCTTGATACCTGACTGCACTGCATAGCCTGGTCAACTCATGTCACTGCTTATTCCTCACCTGCTTTTTAACCTGAGATTGGATCCTTTAATGAAAGAGCTGGTGAAGTTCAAGCAAAAAACTACACAGAGGGCTCCTAAGGTTTGTGTTAGACTCGAGTCTCTGCTGCCTTTGTTGTAATGTATGAATCTCCCTCACACATCAGGTTCTATCACCTGTCTTGAACAAAGTCTCAGTACATTCTAAACATTTTGACTTTGTTGTGTTTTCCTTTGGTAAGGAACAAAGGGACATCTGGAAGAGGGAGTGGGGTTTTCCCCCATAGCTTCATCACACATAGCATCAGGCAGCAACACTACCCGGTTGGGACATGTAGTCATCATGCCAGAGCACACTGGGACCAAGGTCCATTGCAGACCCCTGGACTGAATTTTGTTACTAAGATGGATTTCATCCTGTTTTCCCTTGCAGCTGCTTTCCCACTGTATCCTGTGCTCTGTGGCTGCCCGCTACCCCAATGACTTCACCCCAGAAGCCCATGCTGCATGGGATAAGTTCCTGTCCAGTGTTTCATCTGTTCTGACTGAGAAGTACAGATAAATGATCTCTACAGAGGGTGAGGGATGCACAACCATGGTGCCTGCCAGCTGCCAGGCTCTGGAGTATTCCCTGCTTCCTATGCAGTCCTCTCAAATCCCCTCTGCAGGGGCTTGGTCATCTGCAAAACCTAATAAATAACTCAAATGTGAGCTATGGTCTCTGTGTTTTCATCTCCATGTGTTCCACCTGCACTCGACTGTTCAGGCAGGGGGGTGGTCTGAAATATCTACACAATACAGAGGGGAAAATACTAAGCTGTGTAAATTCATGTGCTAGTTCATGTACTCATGTTCACCTACCAGTTTGTGTGCTAAGCTGTGTAAATTTGTTGGGAATAACATAAAATTCAGTGGGAATAACATACTAATGAGCAGAAGCCCAGAACAAGTTGGAGCCCTGTGACTGCTACTGCTCACCAAAGGTGTATCCACAAAAGGTATATCCACAAAAGCTGTATCCACCAAAGACTGTTTCCAGACTGACCAGGAAAGAACCTTTTACCCTGCTAGTATATTGAATGGAGCCAGACTTCTTGTTTGGCCTATCCAAACCCCAACACAACCTGTTGTGAGCAAAACCTGCATTGCCATATGTTATGATGTGCCCAGAGCCATTCTGGGCATTGTCTCCTCATGCTCCTCTCCATGGGGTATGGCCAAGGTATCTGATGTGCTTCATGAACACCTGGGGCTATCACACCTGCTACACAGGTTTGGGAAAGGGACAATCCCCTCAGCTTAACATCTCTTCTTTTTAAACAGGAAACTTTACATGCATTTGAAATTTAGGAATACTAGTGGTCATTGAAGATCAGTGTTGGTGGCGCCTGCGGGACCACAAATTCCCAGGGTCTCCCTGGAAAGCAGCAACAGGGAGCATCCCTCCATACGCACCTCCTGTGGGTCACCCCAGAGACAGCCAAGATCTGCACAGTGGTTCACACACTCTCCCCCTCAATGGAATGAGGGGAAGAGGAAAGGAAGAACAAAAGCAAGGAAACTTGGGGGTCAGAATCAATCAAACAAACAAAGAAATAATGGTTGAGTAAGTGAAGGATAAGTGGAAAAGGGAAGAAAACAAAACAAAATAGGTGATGCTGAGGCAATCACTCACCGCGCCCTGTGGGCGGACTGATGCCCAGCCAGTGCCTGAACAAAAGAGATGGGTAACCCCCCTAAAACTCCCTAAACCCTCCTCTTTTCCCTTTATTACTGAGCATGTCATTATAGGGCATGAAATGCCTCTGTGGCTAGCTGAGGTCACCTGCCTGGTTGTGTCCCATCCCAGTGTATCATGCACCCCAAAATCTATTCCCTGGTGGGCAGAGTGAGAAGCAGAGATGGCCCTGATGCTGCTCAGCAGCAGCCAGAACACCAGGCTGTTATCAGAGCTGGCTCGGTCACCAATCAAATACACATGGGAGCTGCTGGGGAGAAAATGATTTATCAGGTTGCATTCTCTGCCCATGCCTGTCTCAGAGCACTTCTGACATAAAAAGATGGGTGCCAAGTCTTAATCTTGCTCTGATTGACAGCTTGAACTGGCACTGCAAGCTCCGGTCCTCATCTCATTGACATTTTGGGACTGTGTTTGTGCAAGGGGGAGAGATGGTGCAGAAGCTCTGGTCACCAAATTGCTCTGAATGTGTCACACAGCCTGCCACAGGAATTTTAGAAACATTCTGCCTTTGTGGGTCTCAGGTGGCCTGAACATTTCGATCCACAGCTTAGATGGTAGCTCAGCATTTGGTGTGTTCCTGACTCCAGGTTTGTACCAAAGACTTGGTACAGAGGCTGAGGGAAGGATGTGATAGTCACCAACCTCCATATCCCCCGTGGAATGTCCCAGCACTTATGGAGCATACACTGGGGTGGGAAGAAAGGAAGAAGCCCAGACCTGACAAACACCACAGGACAGACTTTGGGAAGAGCATGTGCCTAAAAAGCAGGTTCTTCACTGCCCAGGTTTCTCTGTGTTGCTGGAGAGACAATGTCTCCCATGGTGGATCCTGGGGGAGGGCTTGTCTGTGGCTCCTGCTCATGGGGTCTATAGGCAGAGAGAGGCTGGATGTGCTGGAGTCTGGAGGGGACACATGTGGGACCCATCCTAACACCCACAGAGCCGGAGAGGACCCTGGGCCGGCCAGGGGAAATGGTGACTCCCAACAGGAGGCTTGAGGACAAGCTGTGCCACCCGCGGGACATGCCCCTGGCTGCTGTTGACCACGGGGCAGCCCTGCCAGCTGCTGCCCCCAGCCCGGCCAGGGGCTGGTGCGGTGGGACAGGGCAGGGCAGAGCAGCTGGGGCCCCCTGGGGCCCCCCAGGACAGCCCTGCAGCCTCTCCCCGGGCCGCACACCGCGGGCCCCCCGCCCCTCCGTGCCGATAAGATAAGGCTGGGGTGGAGGAGCTGGCTGCTATAAGAGGGTAGCCCGTGGATGCTGCTGCCACCGAGACCTCCCTGTCCACTGCCAGCCACCACCATGCTGACCGCCGAGGACAAGAAACTGATCCAGCAGGTCTGGGACAAGCTGCAAGGCTGCCAGGAGGAAGTAGGAGCCGAGACCCTGCAGAGGTGCGGGCAGGGCCCAGGGAGCCCCATGGGCGAGGGGGGTGAGTGGGTGGGAGCTCCACGGGGGCTGGTGGGGTTGTGTTCTGAGGGCCAGCAGCACTGACCTTCCCGCTCCGGCAGGATGTTCACCACCTACCCACAGACCAAGACCTACTTCCCCCACTTCGACCTGTCACCAGGCTCTGACCAGGTCCGTGGCCACGGCAAGAAGGTGGTGAGTGCCTTGGGCACTGCCGTGAAGAGCCTGGACAACCTCAGCCAGGCACTGTCTGAGCTCAGCAACCTGCACGCCTACAACCTGCGTGTCGACCCCGTCAACTTCAAGGCAGGCGGAGAAGGGGGAATGAGGGATGGGGGACGGGAGGAAGTGGGGGGCAGGAACTGGGCTGGAGAGCCAGGCAGCAGGGGCTGTGGGCTGGGCTGGAAGTCCAGAGCCCAGGGGATGGAGAGTGGGGGACAGGGAGTGGGATGGGGGATGGTGGATGGGGGATGGGGAGCAGGGGATGGGGACTAGAATGGGGAGACAAGAGACAGGGGATGGGGAGCAGCAGACAGGGACTGATCTGGGGGCTGGTGGTTGTAGCAATGGTGCTGAACCCTGTTTTGCCTTGCAGCTGCTGGCACAGTGCTTGCAGGTGGTGCTGGCCACACACATGACCAAGGATTACACCCCTGAGATACATGCTGCCTTCGACAAGTTCCTGTCGGCTGTGGCTGCTGTGCTGGCTGAGAAGTACAGATGAGCTGCTGCTTGTGCCCGTGTGCCATCAATAAAGACACCTTTGACAATGCACCATGTCTGTCTGTGCTGTGGCCAGGGCCCGGGTGGGCTGGGGTGTTGTGGTGCTCCCGTTGGAAGGAGGGAGGGAGGGAAGAAGCTACTGGAGAGACCAGCCATGGTACATGAGGGCAGCAGTGGCCATGGGGTCCCTGGCTACCCCCCAGGGCCCTGCCTCCTTCCAGCCTATCTTGGGATGCTGCCAATGCTGGTAGCAGGACCTGGGGAATGCAGCTCAGCCTGTCACCTCACCATGCCTGCATCCCTCTGAGGAGAGAGGGGGGAAGGATGTGCCAAGCCAAATGTGGTTCTTGTGTCTCCTTTGAAGGATTCTCCAGGGAGGGTAGGATTAATCCCTCCTGGCTGCATCTACCATGATGACTGTTTAGAACTTCATTGGGGATGCTGCAGGAGCTAAGTGCCTGTATCAGCTCCATGGGCAATCAGGCAAGTTCATGGAGGGAAAAAAATCCACCACAGGCCACGAAGCACAAACACTGTTCTTGAGCTCCAGCCCTTGAGCTACAAATCCCAATCGACTGCCAGTGAAGAGCCCTGGGTGTCTGCTCTTCCCCTGGGAGCTGGGATGTGTGGGAGTGGGGCAGGCAGGCTGCAGTCCAGCTACAGGGACACTGGGTTCAGTGTCTTGGAGTCTGAACTTAAAAAAAACATAGCCTTTATATCACAGGTGATGGGTTATAAGAGAGTAAATTAGCTCTGGGTTTGCTCTGCACTGTGACACCAGAGGGAGGAGACGAGCATTCCTGAGGGATGGGAGATGTGCATGAGATAGCAGTGCCTGCCGTGGCTCAGTGCAGCAGCTGGGCAGGGGCATGTGAGGACTCTGCACAGAAACAGGGCTGGGAGTCCCTGTGCCACCCTGGCCCCTGCATGCCAGAGAGCACTCAGGAATCCACAGCGACTGTCTGACAGGCACCACCACCCAAGCACTGCCTTCCCTCAGAAACAGCAAAACCAGAGCCCGTTTCCTCCAGCTGCCCACCTGACAGGGGGAAACCCCCAGTTCAGACCCCCAGAGCGACTTCCCTCCGTCCTCAGACACATCCCAGTCTGCATCCCAGAGTCTTCATGTGCATCTACACCCATTAATTTTTGTGCCACCAGGCTGCAGGGGTCTTCTGCCTTTGCAGTTTGTGCCCCTGATGCAGCACAGGCAGCAGACACACCACCCCACTGCTGTTTCCCTGGGCTCTGCTTCCCAGAAGATTAGCCCCCCCGGGCCTTCCCCTCCTTCCCTGCTCTGAAATGGTGCCAGTTTGAGCTAATCTCCCCCAAACATGAATGATAAGAACCATCAGCCACGGAGGAAACACGGGTGTGAACTGTCCTGTCTGCCTGTGCCAGCTCTCGAACCTACTAGAAGCACCACAGGGCCCCTCACCCTCCTCACCATCCTTGTTTTCCTCACCATCCCCATCTTCCTTGCTCTTCTTGCCTTCCTCACCTTCATCATCTGGGGCACAAGGGGCTTGCCATGGGCTGCTGCAGCCCTGCCTTCCTTCCCCAGCTGTGAGCTTCTGCCTCTGCAGGCCAGTGCTTGTGTCAGTGCCCAGAGCTGATCCCTGTGGCTCTGCTGAGTGTCTCCTCTTCCCAGCACTGGGGTCAGGGAGAGGGCTGGGGCAGGGGAGGCCCAGAGTCTGGGAGCAGAGGGATGTCACTGCGGTTTGGGGAGCAGGGGGTGAAGAGGGCACACAGTTCACCAGTTTGGGGTCCACTGAGGGAACGAGAGCAGTAGGTGCAGAGGGGCAGTGTGAGTGGGGGCTGTGTGCACTGGGGCTGTGTGGGGTGTGCACAGGGGGTCTGTGGGGTGTGCACGTTGCTGCTGTGCTGGCTGAGAAGTACAGATGAGCTGCTGCTTGTGCCCGTGTGCCATCAATAAAGACACCTTTGACAATGCACCATGTCTGTCTGTGCTGTGGCCAGGGCCCGGGTGGGCTGGGGTGTTGTGGTGCTCCCGTTGGAAGGAGGGAGGGAGGGAAGAAGCTACTGGAGAGACCAGCCATGGTACATGAGGGCAGCAGTGGCCATGGGGTCCCTGGCTACCCCCCAGGGCCCTGCCTCCTTCCAGCCTATCTTGGGATGCTGCCAATGCTGGTAGCAGGACCTGGGGAATGCAGCTCAGCCTGTCACCTCACCATGCCTGCATCCCTCTGAGGAGAGAGGGGGGAAGGATGTGCCAAGCCAAATGTGGTTCTTGTGTCTCCTTTGAAGGATTCTCCAGGGAGGGTAGGATTAATCCCTCCTGGCTGCATCTACCATGATGACTGTTTAGAACTTCATTGGGGATGCTGCAGGAGCTAAGTGCCTGTATCAGCTCCATGGGCAATCAGGCAAGTTCATGGAGGGAAAAAAATCCACCACAGGCCACGAAGCACAAACACTGTTCTTGAGCTCCAGCCCTTGAGCTACAAATCCCAATCGACTGCCAGTGAAGAGCCCTGGGTGTCTGCTCTTCCCCTGGGAGCTGGGATGTGTGGGAGTGGGGCAGGCAGGCTGCAGTCCAGCTACAGGGACACTGGGTTCAGTGTCTTGGAGTCTGAACTTAAAAAAAACATAGCCTTTATATCACAGGTGATGGGTTATAAGAGAGTAAATTAGCTCTGGGTTTGCTCTGCACTGTGACACCAGAGGGAGGAGACGAGCATTCCTGAGGGATGGGAGATGTGCATGAGATAGCAGTGCCTGCCGTGGCTCAGTGCAGCAGCTGGGCAGGGGCATGTGAGGACTCTGCACAGAAACAGGGCTGGGAGTCCCTGTGCCACCCTGGCCCCTGCTCATGCCAGAGCACTCAGGAATCCACAGCGACTGTCTGACAGGCACCACCACCCAAGCACTGCCTTCCCTCAGAAACAGCAAAACCAGAGCCCGTTTCCTCCAGCTGCCCACCTGACAGGGGGAAACCCCCAGTTCAGACCCCCAGAGCGACTTCCCTCCGTCCTCAGACACATCCCAGTCTGCATCCCAGAGTCTTCATGTGCATCTACACCCGTTAATTTTTGTGCCACCAGGCTGCAGGGCTCTTCTGCCTTTGCAGTTTGTGCCCCTGATGCAGCACAGGCAGCAGACACACCACCCCACTGCTGTTTCCCTGGGCTCTGCTTCCCAGAAGATTAGCCCCCCCGGGCCTTCCCCTCCTTCCCTGCTCTGAAATGGTGCCAGTTTGAGCTAATCTCCCCCAAACATGAATGATAAGAACCATCAGCCACGGAGGAAACACGGGTGTGAACTGTCCTGTCTGCCTGTGCCAGCTCTCGAACCTACTAGAAGCACCACAGGGCCCCTCACCCTCCTCACCATCCTTGTTTTCCTCACCATCCCCATCTTCCTTGCTCTTCTTGCCTTCCTCACCTTCATCATCTGGGGCACAAGGGGCTTGCCATGGGCTGCTGCAGCCCTGCCTTCCTTCCCCAGCTGTGAGCTTCTGCCTCTGCAGGCCAGTGCTTGTGTCAGTGCCCAGAGCTGATCCCTGTGGCTCTGCTGAGTGTCTCCTCTTCCCAGCACTGGGGTCAGGGAGAGGGCTGGGGCAGGGGAGGCCCAGAGTCTGGGAGCAGAGGGATGTCACTGCGGTTTGGGGAGCAGGGGGTGAAGAGGGCACACAGTTCACCAGTTTGGGGTCCACTGAGGGAACGAGAGCAGTAGGTGCAGAGGGGCAGTGTGAGTGGGGGCTGTGTGCACTGGGGCTGTGTGGGGTGTGCACAGGGGGTCTGTGGGGTGTGCACAGGGGGTCTGTGGGGTGTGCACAGGGGCTGTGTGGGGTGGTGGGGTGTGCACGGGCTGTGTGGGGTGTGCACAGGGGCTGTGTGGGGTGGTGGGGTGTGCACAGGGGCTGTGTGTGTGCGGGGATGGGGTCTGTCTAGGGGGT